CGATGTCAGTCAAATAAAAATAAAACATTCTTTTGGAAAACTCTTACCAATCGTCGTTCTTCTAAGTCATATTTGATCGTGGCTATATCTCGTTTTAGTTTGTCGAATTCTAGGTTCACGTCGGCCTCTCTTAATCTAGAAAAAATAATATATTATACAGGGTGTTCCAGAAATAAGTGCATTTAAGGGATGGTGGTGGTAGATCTGGCCAAAAGAGAAACACATTTTGTCTTTGCCGTTTTTTGAAATAAATTAATTGATAATAATATAGTTATTTAACTTTGAAAATTTTAAAAAATAATGGCAACATTTTAAGCACCGCCGACAGCAATCGATAATCAGCCGCAAATACCAAGCAATTACTATAATCTCAGCTTGTTTGATATCCAGTGTTGACATATCGACCAGAAAGATTTAAAAACGATTTAGAAAATTCATATTAAAAGGAAAAAACTTATCTAACATTAGAAAACGGGACTCCGATAGATAGTAGATCGATGTAATTTGGTTTGGTTGTGAGAGCGTCGTTTTATCGCTTTACCTAAAACCGTAACTCTACATTTAAAGGTGGGTATACACATGCTAGCCGAGCGGTTCGCAAACCGCTCGTTGGCAAATTGTTTTTGTACGAACCTTCAACGATCCAAGGGAAAAGCGCGAACGCCGCAAACCAACCGAAAACATGCAGTCATTTTTGCGATGCGACGCGACACCGCGACGGTGCGAGTACGCGTTTAATTATGTCTTCGCGAGAAGAGAATTATGCTCTGTTGGTGATGAGTGGTGCATTTTTAATGATGGCTAGTTTAGACAAGAAAACGAAGCAGCGACGTTGGTGGTAGGATGCTAATAAAGAAATCATTTTCTTCTTACATTGGTCTGCATTTTTTTCAGTTCGACACCTATTTCCCTCCAAGCGTCCTCCTTTAAATTCTTTTTATAATGTTCCTTATGTTTTGGATCCCATAATAAAGCTTTTTTTCTATAGAGATCAATTAAACCTAAAATGATTTCCTCGGACCACTCCATATTTAAATAAAGCTCTATACCTCCTCCAACCGGTAAACAAAAACTAAAAATTGAAAACAGTGCGTCTGGATTGTCTGGAGGTTCGATACAAACAACGAACAACACACGAGCCCGTCCACCGAGAGCCACGAATCCCTTTGTGTTCGTCATAAAAACCGACAGGAGGCGGATCGCCGCGAACGGTTTGCGAGCCTTTCGTTCGTTGCTCAAAACAACGTATACATTTGCGAATTATAGGTTCGCAAATCACTCGGCTCGAATGTGTATACCCACCTTAACAACACTTCATTTTACTGCGATTCTTGACAACACTACACTCACAAGTGTATTTGGTCTAAAATACATTCATATACCATCTGAATTATTTATGATTGTTTTTTGAGAATTCAAACTCCTCTGTTTTTCTTCTCATCTCACACTCTTGTTTTTGTGAATAAACACCAAAATAATTGATATTTCTATTTGAATAATAAAAGTGTTTTTACAGACTTACCTTTACATTTGTCTATATTTTTTTAGTTTTGTCAGAGGTTTACTCTTTTGAGTAAAATGTCAAATGAATTGGATAACCTAAAAATTCCATCAATGATCTGTTTAAATGTAGGTCAAACGTTGACTATTTACATATCTAATAGAGGGTGCGGATTCTGAACTGGTGAAAAAAGCCGCTATTATTGTTCATTAAGGTGCGTATTCATTATCCGAACGAACGAACGAACGAACGAATGAAAGTGCGGTATATTTAGACGGGGACCGAACGCATGCGGCCGTTCGTTCGGTCGTGCGCTCGACCATCCGCTTCGAGTCGGTACATCAAAGGCGTTCGCCTGCGTGCGCTTTCAGATTTAAGGTGCGTATTCATTATCCGAACGAACGAACGAACGAACGAATGAAAGCGGTATATTTAGACGGGGACCGAACGCATGCGGCCGTTCGTTCGTTCGTGCCGCTCGACATCAGCACAAATTCGGTACATCAAAGGCGTTTAATTTGTCATGGTACAAAAGAATACAAAGGTATAGTCGATAGCGGCTCCAGGCTCGTTCAGTCGCGCATACCACCTGTGACGTCACTAGGAAAATAATGAATAAATAAAAAATAAAGAAAGTTGACAGGAGATCTGCAATTTTTGGGGTTATGGTTAAGAATTGTTTATTTTAAGACTTTTTAGTTCGTTTAATTTAATAATTACTAAAACCAGCAGTTCCAAAAATATATTTAAAAATAATAATTATCTATTAACATGGATTTGGACGATAGGTAAGAATACTGAATTTATTTCTATATTCGGTATAAAATTGTTTATTAGGTTTTTAGTTTGCGATGTTTATGGTAAATAATTTTCATTTTCATTGCCTCTGAATTCACATGAGGACAGAGTTGAGGATATCTATGGAAAAGTAACCACAAGAGGAATTGTTACATCATTTAAAAAATATTGGGAAGTTTATTGTTTCCCATCGAAAAGTAGAAAATGCCAATGCAGATGAACGTATTGTAATTGTGATAGAAGTAATTCTAAGGGTGAAGTTTATTATAATTAGTGGAAGTAATACCAAGGGTGAAGTTTATTATAATTAGTGACCTCTGCTTCTTTTTATATGTAGAAGTTTCTGGTTTTGAGAATAAATCGGTTGAACGACACCCAAAATTTAAGGAAGTATTTGCATACCCAGAATATGCCCATCAAGGATTATATAGCTCAAATTTCCTTTAATGGTAGGCAATTATTCAATGCAAATTAATTTTGTAAGTGACTGAAATATTAAATAGTTTACAATATGGTATATCACTAAAAATATATTACTTTTAGGTACAATTAGGGCCCGATACATTTCAAAAAGTAGAATATTATTTTATATTAAATGAGGTATTGTACTAACAATCAATTTATATTAATAACGGAGATTAAAAAATAACAGAATAAATAGTTCTTTTTTTTTATACTACAAAAATAAACTATAGAATACAACAGTATTTAAAAAAATAAATAAAAAGTTATGTCCCGGCCGAGATTCGAACTCCGGTCTCTCGCTTCCTAGCCCGACTCCTTACGCACTGCTCCACAGTAGCTTGCTTAGCGATAATTCAATGACGGTATGTAAACAAAAAAACAGGTTTATAACAATATCTTGACGATTTGAACTGGCGCGCGAATGAAGAAATGCGTGCGGTCTTCTCGTGCGGTACTATCGTGCGGTCCCCGTCCATACCACTAGCGAACATTCGTTCGTTCGTTCGTTCGTTCGTGCGGATAATGAATACGCACCTTTATTTAGTTTCATTATTTCAGTTTACTAATCTGTAGTTTTTTTTCAGTTAAAAATACATGATGTAGCGATTTTTATAAAAAGCTTGATATTTTAACACTGTTTACAATATATTTAATCTTGTGACCAAACAATTTCATTAATTTTCAACAATTTGATAAGAACGGACACAAAAATAAAGTAAAACGCATTTTTTAAGAATTTTTGACAACAGAAATATAACTTGGCTAAGAAACCCATAGAAATTAAAAACATATATATTCTATGATTTTACCGTATTATTAAAAGTACAAACAACTGAAATGTGAAGCTAAAGTAATAAACATGAATTATTTTCAACAAAACTGTAAACCTTGAATGTACATAACTTTTTCAAATACAGTTCATGCCAAAGACATTATAAAGATAGACCGAACATCTCATTCATAAATACTCGTTGGTAGTGTATCAAACATTCCAATGTGTCAAACAAGGACAGAAGAGACAGAGAAGTCTAAAATTTCCGACCCCGGCAACTAGGCGCATTTGGGATTGTTCTAATGGCCAGTGGCGTATCGTTTTTTGGAACGAATTTAATTAGTAAACTAAAAGTAAATTAATTAGTAAAATTTTTACTCCATATTAATATACTACATTAACACTTTTTCGTCAGATGAGTTTTGTTATAAGGTCTAATATAATAATACAATTAATATCCCACATATACTTATGTTGAAACGTTAGTAGTTTTCGAAAATTACTCCAACGTCGATTTTCAATTTAAACTTTCAGTTACTTCTATATAACCTTTCAGTTACTTTTGGATATTTACAGGGTGACTCAGGCTTCCAAAACAGTTCTATATTAGGTTTGTGGTTGGTGACTTTTCTTTCAATTTTTTTTTCAGAATATGGAGGCATTTAGGCACATATTAGACATTTTTGTAAACACAGGTGGCCGGAACATATTTTCAAACCAAAGTTGTAGATTTGCCATTAAATTTCCATTCCAGAAATACCTAGGGTTGCCACTTGTCCTTTTTTGAAAAGGACAGTCCTTTTTTGGAATAACTTGTCCTTTTGACTTTTTTTGACTTAAAAAGTCATTTTTATTTACGTATTTTCCCTGAGAAAATTACCTACAGCAAACAGAAATATTCTTTTCGCCCAAATTTAATTAGGAATGTTATAAAACTTAACTTATAAATAAATTTTTCTTGTTTAGAATAGGCAACATTATTTAGAACTTCCCGTTTAATCTCAAATGATAATTTAGGTTTTAGTTTTACCTTTTTTGATCTTAAAAAGAACTTTTTAAAATTACTAATTAGTAACGATTTAGTTAGTTCGCAATCAGCTTCCTGTAAAGTACTATGTAATAGTTGTTTAATCTTGTATTATTAATATCTTTTCCTATACCTAAAATCAATATTTAATGAGAAAATTGTGTTTTTTTGAAAATATAAGACAAGATTTGACTTTCGGTCTTCTTCTTGTATTATGATGGCTCTGATTCGAGGCAATTACCTTTTAGTCTCTCAATAGAAGGCATTTATCATTAAAAGTATCAAATCTGTGTGCTACAGTATCGGATTTCTGTCGCATAATAATGAATATTACGTTTATTTACAAACCTATTACTTTTAAAGGTAGCTTCATCAGACAATCAAATTTTAGTTAAATGTCTCAATCTTCATGAACTGTATTAAGCATATGTATGCGGTTTGAATCACCTTGTATGTTGACAAAAATATTTTGAAAATGTGCGCTATAATGACCCCCATCTTATGTAAAAAATTGAAATAAAAATCACAAACCAAAAACGTAATAGATAAAAAGTTTTTTTGGAGGCCTGGGTCATTTTGTATATAGGTATGTACATATATATATATACATATATACATATACATATATATACAGCCGTTATATTATTATTATATAGGTATGTATAAAACTAGTAGCCTAAAAATTATTTACAGTTCGTCCCATTCTAAAAAAAAGATAAACACACCGTACAAATAACTCTAGGAAGAGGTATTTGTACGGTGGTAAAAAATTGCCTAAACAAGGCGGAAGGGGCAGTTATAATAAAGCAGTAAAATGCAAAAAAGGTCGGGTAAACACCTTTGTTTATTTGTTGAGCAAAATTCCTTTAGAATATTGTATATAATGACCAAAATATGACGCAATTTTAAGAAAAAAATGTCACTTTCTGGCTTATAATAAAGTTTCAAATGCAACGTTTATATTCAAATTTGTTATGATCTACAACAGTTAGGTAGTAATTGAGACGAATTATAATTCAATTACCGACTACTACGTTCTTGTTTTAATAGATCCAAATTCAACAAATATAATTAGAAATTATTTTAATTGTAAGGAGCTCTCTTGTGGGACGCCTACGTACAATTACGGCGGAAATATGTACCTACCTGTGAAAAGACAAATTCGGGTAATTTGAGCTTATATTTCCACACACTTGACACTGTCGTATCATATTGAAAATTCTCAGATTCAAAAGTACGTTAAACAAAAACAAAAACTGCTGAAAAACACTGAAAAGTTCACTTCGGACTTGATTCCGACTTCAAACACACCGTAAGCTAAACGTAGTACGCTATAATGGACCATAATGGACCAAGGGCCTTCGCGAGGGGTGGTGGGACGGACGGCTCATTTTCGTTCTGGAAGACTAGCAGCGACGTTGCCAATAGTTCTAGACGTTTCAACACATTAAACAGTAAACATGTCCTTTAATAGTAACGCATATATCCTCTGGTTAATAACATATTATTACGCATGCTTCTTTAAAAATAAACTATTAATTTAATTAAGAAATTGAGATTTATTGATATCCGGTGAAGGTTTTAAAGTCACCTCTTCTGTAAATCAAACTAAGTAGATAGGCGCAAATTTGATATGTGGCAATGTCGCCTTCCCTATCTCAGTTGATTTTTACAGTACGTAGTCAACCTCCGAATGTTTGATCGGGTTAAAATGCATAATGTGATATCTGTTCTTCCTAAATCTATGGTTCATGCTAATATAGGATCTGCATTTGCCGCACATGGATCGTGCACATTTGATTCATGAGATTTTTGTTTTTTGTCATTTCTTCGTTGACATATATCACATCTCTTTCTTTTCTGGTATTGATTATTCAATTTTTTCCCTTCTATAAGTAAGAGATTCAGAATCGGAGTTATGGTTACTCTTCGGAGAGTCAAATCAATGTCTCGATCTTCATCTCACGTAAGTCTCTTTAAGTTCATCAAACCACTCAATTAGTGCTTCCTCAAAATTAGCGTCCCAGTAAAGCACACTATTTAGACTACCCACCATCCTAATAATAAAACATTCTTGGCGTGGTGGTGCCGCACAGACCCCAATGAAACTTTAGCCCCCGCCGGTAGGAACAATACTTGATAAAACCAAGTGCGCTTTTACATATTGGTACCCTAACTTACAGGTAAATGGCGCGGCGAGGCCTAGTTCTTAAACGTAAACATTTTACAGAGGTTGAAATAGTGCTTGGGGTCCGCTAGACCCCACCACGCCAGTTGAGTGTTAATAGTAATCTAAAATGATTAAAAATTTACAGTGAATAAAATAATTTAAGTATTTTTTGTATAAATTTAAAAATGTGAACTTGTAACTTTTAAACATAGAGAATGTGAATAACGTAGGAGGTGGCAGCATTGCATTCTCTCGAAGCACTATAAACAAATTTCCGGAAACCGAATAAGGGGCACTCAAAAGTTTTTCAATATTTTCTGGAAAATGTCAAGAAAAATAGAAAATTTTCAACAATTTTTTTTCGCAAAAAAAACTCATGGACGTGTTTCTGGCGTACTACGAACTATACAACCAGTTAAAATACTTGCCCTTACTTCTGGAAGAACCTGTATATAAATTACTTTAAAATTCTATTTTCATTGAATTTGCATTTTTAAAAGAGCGTAGCAAAATACATCATCTAGTTATGACCCACCCTGTATATGTACCTGGCGGCTAAAAATTCGTCCTGCCACTGATTGATTCCTTTGTAGTAAATGTCTTTGGACTTCTCCACATCGTATTCTAGAGCGGTGTAGTGATCGTGGAGTTCTTGAAGGAGGTCGTCGCTTTCGGCAATCCTTAGCTTGGTCTTCACTAGGAGTTCGTGTAGACATTCGGTCACGTTGCTTTTGAAGTCCAGTTGTTCTTTGATGGGCTTCAGTTCTTTTATAAACTGGTTAATCTGAAATAATAAATAAACAAGCATTATATGACCGACATATACTATTTACAATCGCAGAAAAAATCAGGAAATACTTTTTTAGTACCTTAAAAACTTTTCTTTTAGCGCTAAAAGAAATCAGTCTCACCGTGGCCACAAAGCCCGTTTGAATGACAATGCAAAATCTGTACGTGAGAGTAATGATGGAAAGATATTAAAAATCACTGTCTTACGATTAGGCTATTCGGTTCAGAGAAATGGCGGTATTCCATATTAGGAATACTATTCTATATTAGGAATACTATTCCATATTAGGGATACTATTCCATCTTAGGAATCTTATTCCATATTAGGAATATTATTTCCTTTTAGGAATCCTATTCGTATTAGGAATCTTATTCCATATTAGGAATACTATTCCCTATTAGGAAAAAAGAAATCTGCCTTAAAATAATCAAAAAAAACTTTTTTCATAGCGCTGAAAGAAAACTCTCACCGTGACGACAAAGCCCGTTTGAATGACAAGGCAAAGAGAGAAATGGCGGTATTCCATATTAGGAATACTATTCCATATTAGGAATCATATTCTATATTAGGAATCCTATTCCACATTAGGAATACTATTCCCTATTAGGAATCATTCATATTATGAATCATATCCTCTATTAGGAATCTTATTCCATATTAAGAATCCTATTCCATATTAGGAATGCTATTCCATATTAGGAATACTATTCACTATTAGGAATGCTATTCCATATTAGGAATGCTATTCCATATTAGGAATGCTATTCCATATTATGAATACTATTCCCTATTAGGAATAATATTCCCTATTAGGAATACTATTCCACATTATAATTATATTATAAATAAATAAATAAATAAATAATAATTTATTGTCTAACAGGAAATCTCAAATTAAAGACAATTGTGTACACTAAAAAATTCACAACATTCATAATAAATGAAGCTAACATAAGCACAAATCAACAATAAAAGTACAATGCAAAATATAACAAATCTATATGTAATCTTAAAAAAAATAACACCTAGTATAAATTTAAAAGTAAAAGTAAAATTAATAAAAAATAAAGTAAATTATGATATTATGATTATGGAATATTATTCCATATTTGTTTACTTTCCTCTATTGAATTATTAAGGATTCCTTTTAATAATTTTGCTTGAAAATGTCATCGAGTATTATTCATTTGCTGAGTTTTGCAATTTCTATGTGACAATTCTATGAGTATAGTTATATTAAATAAAAAGTTGGTAAAAAGCAGATTGTCGAAGGCTGGTAACTCAGCTTAGAAACCTCTTCAGTAGTTACCAGCGGCTTAGCGTGGCGTCAATACAAGGGGATGTATCAATAACTGCAATTAACCTTTTACCGCACTCAGAATCACGGTATTTTTTTATTTTATGAACGAGATGTGTTTCAGAAACCGCATCACCCACCGAAATAATTGAAATTGAATTTAATTATTTGAGTAAATTTACTGAGAATTTTAATTTATTATAGGAGATCTCAGTTACTCTTAAATAAAAACGTACTTACTGTATATATTTTTGGTGCTTACCGATTCAATCTGTTCTCTACAAATCTGCAGTCTCTGGGATTGTTCCAGATTAGCCCTTCTTTCTTTCTGCAATTCCTCCAGAAGGTTGTTTAACTCGTTCTTCTTATCAACAATGATCACTTCGTTCTGCCTGAATTTCTCCCTGAGATCATCACGTTCGCTTTCCAATAGCATCAGTTTTTCCTTCAGTTGCTGATTGATTTGTCTCGATTTCTGGCAAAAGAAAGAAAAATAAAGTAACCGATACAGGGTGATTCTTGAATAAGTGCACGTATTTTCAGGGCATGTAGATCTCGATAAAAGAAACATAATGTATTTTCTCTTGATCGTTTTTCAAATAAGTCCAAAACGAGTTATTTACGTGTGATTATTAAAAAAATTGTGTTTTCACCGAGGGGTAAACCGCAGAGGGAAAAGTGTACACCGTAATTCCTTTTACACAAATAATTCCTCAGAATTCCTCGTAATTCCTTCGGAATTCCTTGGAATTCCTGGTCTTCAAGGTCAAGGTCAATCATTCAAGGTCTTCCTTGGAATTCCTTGGTACGAACTCGGTAACTCTTTCAGTCTGAACCAGCGTTGCCACCTCG